GCACTGCCGGCCCCCAGCGGCTCCGGCCCCCAGCCGAGCACCACCGGTCCCTCCCTCCCTATTTTCCCGGACATGTCCGGCTTTTTGGGATTTCCTCCCGGACGGGGATTTGAGGCCCAAAAAGCCGGACATGTCTGGGAAAATCCGGAAGTATGGTAACCCTACGTAGTCTGAGCCCGTCGCCTCTCGTCCTGCCCTCTGGGGCCAGAGAGAACAAGTTTCCGCCAGCTTTTTTAGGGCAGCCTGTCAAGTATCTGAAGACCGGCCACTCTCATGTCCCCACTTAATCTCCCCTTTTCCAAACTAAACACACCCGGGTCCTTCAGCCTTTGCTCCTATGGCTGCGTTCCAGCCCTCTGGTCCTCTCTGGCGCTCACCTCCAGATCCTTTCTCTACAGCAGTGACCAAAACTGGACCCAGTTCTCCAGCTGAGGCCTAACCAGCGCCGGCACAGTGGTACTGTCACCTCCCGTGACTTGCAGGCGCTGCCTTGGCTAATGCAACCTACAATTGCATTTGCTTTTTTTGCAACGACCTCGTGTTGCTGACTCATGCTGAGGTTGCGATTTGCTCCCGCATGGGCTGGAAGGGAGCAACAAACAGGCTGGGGCCGGGCGCATCCTGACACTGTGTCTCTATGTGTGCGCACACCCAGCCAGGTGTGTATGTACATCTGTGTAACTGACCATGTGTGTGTGTGTGTACCCAGCCACGTGTGCCTGCACGTCAGTGTGTGAGTGATCATGTGCCTGTATGTTTGTGTGTGTACCTGAGTCTGTATGTACGTCTGTACCTCACCACTAGGTTTACCATATCTCAAAAATAAAAAAAGAGGACCCTTCACGGGCCCTGGCCCCGCCCATTTCCCCACCCTAGCCCCGCCCCAACCCCGCCCCTTCCCCACCCTAACTCCGCCCCCTCCTCCCTTCCACTCCCAGCCAGGGGGAAAGGGCTGCCCCAGTGCTACCGGCTTCAGGGTTTGCTGGGCAGCCCCCAGACCCTGCGCCCCCAGCCGGCGC